AGAGAGAGCGTCTTGATGGCATGTTGTTCTACCCTACTTGATGTCTCACACATCATTTGGATGAGGATATGCAAGATATTTTCATTCACAGATAGCACAAAATTGAAAAAAAAAAATCAAGATCTGGAATTACCTCAACAAATTGTAATGTTGGGGTAAGAACTAATCAAATGCAGTCACCAGATAAACGTGTGTGTGTGTGTGTGTGTGTGTGTGTGTGTGTGTGTGTGTGTGTTTTCATAGAAGTTCTGAAGCATGGTAAAAGGCTGGAGCAAATGTGGTATAACACTTCATGTGCCATTTGCTGGCAACATTATATTTAGATTACCCAGATTCCAGTGTCTTCTGCTGTGGTTAAGACACTCTTGAAAGAATATATTCAATTCAGAGTGTGAAAGTGCCACATTTAAAAAAAAATTTTTTTCTTTATTGATATGTTTTAGAGAGACAGAAGAGAGAAGAAAAGAGAGATAGAAACATTAATGAAAGAGAACATCGATGGGCTGCCTCCTACATGTCCCCCACTGGGGACCGGGCCCACAACCTGGGCATGTTTCCTGACCGGAAATCAAACTGGTGACCTCTTGGTACATGGGTCGATGCTCAACCACCGAGCCACACTGGCCGGGCTCAAATTGCCACATTTGAAAAAGAGTTTTATAAAAGTTTGGGTAAGACACAGTTGGAGAAACTAGAAATATTTAGTCTTAGGGAGTATGTCAGTTTAATTCCGGGATCAGGAGGATTGGCATAATCAAATATGTCTTTTAAAAGCAATGCTCTATCTGCAAGTTGGACACAATTGAAGGAGACAGAAGTAAAAAAGGGGAGACTAGTAAGAGAATGCAGCAACCCAAGTAAGAGGTAGCGGGCGTTTAGAAGTGGAGAGATGTGGAGGGAAGTCCAACGGGAGCAGGACAGACTGGATATCCATTGGCGGGACACAGGCTGAGGGAAAGGAATGCGGTTGTTGGGGAGAATATTAGGGTCAGGGTGTTGGTAGGGCATTTTAGTGACAGCTATCAGCAAGCTCTTGGACATTCTCATCGGGTGCACAGAAAAAGGGTGGTTGTAAATAAGGGTACGGGAGGCAGCTGAATAGAGTGACTGTCACCAGTGACGGACATCTACAGGAACCTTTCAGTTCATGGGCCACTTCAGCTCTCAGAAGCCCGACCCTGCTCGGTGCAGTCCCTTGCAGCAAAGCGAGTGCTATTATGACATTACAGAGATATAAACACTAAGTCGCTTGGTGTAAATTTGCTTAAGATTTCAACACTAGTAAGTGATGGAACCAAACTTAAAATGAGGCTGTTCAGTATCAAATTCTAAGATTTTCTTTCCTGTAAAAACAAATTAAATTATACTTGACACACAGTATTATATTAGGTTCGGGCGTACAGCACAGCAATTCAACATTTATATACCTTACGAGTGATCACCGTGATAAATCTCGTGACCATCTGTCACCGTGCATAGTTAGTATGCCGTTATTGACATATTCCCTACGCTGTGCATTACGTACCCCTGACTTGTTTTATAACGGAAAGTGCTACTTATCACCTTCCCCTTTGGTATCCATCCCCACACCCCTCTGGCAATCGTCAGTTGGTTCTGTCTATCTATGAGTTTGTTTCATTTTATTCATTTGTTTTGTTTTTTAGATTCTGCATGCAAGTGAAATCGTACAGTATTTGTCCTTCTCTGTCTGACTTATTTCAGTTAGCATTATACTCTCCAGGTTTATCCAAATGACAAGATATCATCTTTTATGGCTGAGTAGTATTCCATGGTGTGTGTGTGTGTGTGTGTGTGTGTGTATGTGTGTGTATCCTTTATTCAACTGTCTATCAATGAACACTTAGGTTGCTTCCATATCTTGGCTATTGTTAACAATGAAAATCAAAGCCACAGTGAGATGTCACCACACACGGGTCAAAATGGCATTATCAACAATACAACAAAGAACCCGTGTGGGTGAGGTGTGGAGAAAAGGGGACCCTTGTGCTCCGCTGGATTGTAAGCTGGTGCAGCCACCATGGAAAACAGTGTGGAGGTTCCTCAAAACATTAAACAGAACTACCATGTAACCCAGCAATTCCACTTCTGGGTATTTGTCCGAAGAAAACAAACACACTAGTTCGAAAAGGTATATGCACCCGCACGTTCACTGCAAATGCGAAGGTGTGGGGTGTGCGCTTCTTACCCACGTCTCAGTGCCTGAGCGATGAGAGTCAGAACAGCTCCCCGAGGGGAAGAAATATGAGACCTAGCTGGGGACATGTCTGCTTTGAGGACTGGAGAGAAGAGGGTCCAGTAGTGGAAAGGGCCACAAAAGTACCAGGATCGTGTTGGACTCCAGACCCCAGGGAGCAGCAGGGGGTGGAGCCCGGGGGCGGGGTGGGGGGGGGCGGTCAGCACGCTCAGCCGTCACCAGGATGGTCAGCTGGTGCTGAGAACAGACACGTTCCTTACTGCACATTCACCGTTGTCTCATCGTTGACTCATTCCACACGTTTTGTCTTTGGCTCCTGAACTAGATTATAAATTCCTTGAGGGCAAGGCCCACGTCTTACTTGCCTTCCCGTCTCTGTACTGCCTAACACAGAGCTGTGTGTACCTCGACTGATACGAAATGTGGAAGCTCTCGGCATGGCGATGATTAATCATCACTAGAAGTTTTCCAAAGGCACAGTCTCCAGTGCCAAGAGCACATTTGTTTAAAATGTGTGCTTAAATCTGAATGAATCTGCCTAAATGGTGCCATCTGTTCTTGGGCAGCCTCAGAAATGTTTTAATATAATTTTACCTTTAAAAGGACAAGCGTAGGGGCATGTCTAGGAGACAGAAGGACGTCCTTAAATAAACACAGAGCCGACACCCGCACATCCACTCACACTTAAACAGCTACACATAAAGAATGTTTTCTGAGGTTTAAGAAAATTTTAGCTAGGAGGACAACAACTACTACTTCATGCAGAAAATATTTATGAGAAGTTACAAAACTGTAGGCATGGACTCCTACAGCATATTACGTCATTTTAATTACAGACTCCAGAAATACAACTTAATTGATGCAAATCTCACATTTCCTTTGAAATGGGTACACTCTTTCGATACTCGCTAGTGGCCTACATTGTACGGGGATTTCAGTACATCCGTTGAGAAGCTGAAGACAGCTGTTGGGGTATAGTCTCTATGGTTTTCGTTTGTATCAATTGTCAACTTGACTTTTATTACAGTACTGTAGGATTTATTGTTGTGTGAATGTAACAGTGAAATGAAACCCATGTTTAAGTTCTGCAAATAACTCACAGCCGCTTCCAAAACACCTCAACGAAGGTTCTAAATTTGAGTTCGCGGTTTTACATGCACAGTTATTTGCTGATCCACTTTAGCAAAATCACACACTGGCTCGGCTGGGTCTAGTTATTGTGGCGACCAGTAATGGGTCAAATTTTCAGCCTATTTAACTCACTAGCTCCATCATCATCACCAAAATGATGCCAGTGTTTTGACATGTGTGTATTTTGCTCATTGGTGTACGTCAACCATGGTGTACATGAAGAATTTCTATTTACGGACAGACCTTCTGGTTGAAATGGCACCCAAGTACATGACCCTACCTGCACACATCTGCATCCGTACGCAGAGCCTGGGTGCAGCTCTGTTCTTCACAGGAACACGCCTTTGGACTATTTTTAGACAAGTTTTATTTTTAGATGTTTTTGGATATCAGAATTGGCTTACGATCGTTTTTCAGTAACAGCAGCAGGATAACGTCGAGGTCCCCTAGCCAGCTCTCCGCTCCCAGCACGCACAAAGGCAGCCGCTGTCTTTCACCCGCCGCATCCTTCAGCCCCTATTGCTCCTTTTTCAATGACCTGAGTCATAGCACCATGGATAGATATTTCTGGATCACATACTACATTTTTAATTATAGAAGTCCTATCATGGTGTTTATATCATTTTTAAGCTTGCGATCTTTTTCCTCAGACTTCTATTTCAGAAATCAATCTAGGTCAATCTATCCAAAAGTTGCTTCAATTTCACATATCTATAGTTTGAATTAGCCAAGTTTATTCATCTTTTCTACCAGAGGTGTCCATTTAGGTTGGACATCATACACCAATTTCTTGCTACCTAAACAATGTTTCAGTGAATCAGTATCTCTATCTATCTATCTATATATCTATCTCTCTCTCTCTCTCTCTCTCTCTCGCTCTCTCTCCTGGTGTACCTGTCTCAGATTTCTCTCTAGGAAATATACCTGTTCTATTACAGCATAAACCCAGTCTATTGCTGGATTGTGGATTATAGGCATTTGCAACGTTACCACATATTATCAAATTGCTCTCAAAAAAGATTCTTAATTTATATTCCTACTGACAGTGTATAAAAGTTTCCATTTATTTATACTCTTGCAAACACTTTTATATTTTTATTTTTTTAAGATAAACATTTTTATTGCTTTCATTTCTAAAATGTGAATATGATTAACAGTTTGGCTGGTATGTAATTCTAGGTTCTAAATCATTTTCCCTCATTATTTTGTACAACAGGTAAATCTCTAAAAGATGTGTGGAAATTCCAACCTTTAAATTAAAAGTCTATTTTTTGTAGTTTCAGGTTCACAGGAAAATTGGGAGGAAGGTACAGAGATTCCCCACACACAGTCTCCCGCATTATCCACACCCCCCATTGGATGGTCCTTTGGTCACCTGCACCTGATGAACCATCATATCCATAAGAGGGCCCAAGCTTACCACATTCAGAGTCTTTTCCCATTTTCTGAGCTAACTCACCCACATCTGCTCCCAGCCGTTCAAGATGTAACACAGTGAACACAATCCACACAGAGTCCCCGTTGTGCGTTCTGTTGTTCCTTTTGACAGCGCTGGCTTCATGGGAAATGTCTTGACGGAGATTTAAATGTGTATCTGTTGCGATTCTTCCGCCTTTCCCATCGTTCACACTACTTTGCAATTCCTTTCCTGCAGACTCCTATGAACCAAGCGTCAACTCGTTCCCACTGCATCTTCACCATCCACTTGTCAAGCAAAGAGCCAGGCTCCGCAGCGGTCCGGCACGCCAAGCTTCACCTGGTGGACCTGGCTGGTTCGGAGCGCGTTGCCAAGACCGGAGTCGGGGGCCAGCTCCTGACGGAGGCCAAGTACATCAACTTGTCTCTGCACTACCTGGAGCAGGTAGTGTGGGCAGACGGGGCTGGCTGTGCCCGCCGCTTGGTGAGCGGGCCTTTCTCCTCTGCGTTCTCCTGGTGTTCGGTGTGGTTTTGCTTCTTTTCCTCTTTTATTGTGGTGGAATATGCATAACATAAATGTTACCTTTTAATAACTTTTTTTTTAATCCTCACCTGAGGATATTTTTGCATTTATCTGCAGTTAAAGCGGGAGGAGGAGAGTGGGGAAGAGACAGAGAGAAACATCAATGTGAGAGAGACACATTGAGTGGCTGCCACCCACATGACCCCAACCAGGGCCGGGGACAAACTGCAACTGAGGTACGTGTCCTTAGCAGGAACCGAACCCAGGACTCTCCAGTCCGCGGGCCAATGCTTTAACTGCTGAGCCAAACCGACCAGGGCTTAATAACTTTTTAAATTCTCATTTGAGGTTATGTTTATTGATTAGAGAGAGAGTGAGAAACACTGATGTGAGAGAGAAACATTGATCAGTTGCCTCCCATACATACCCAGACCAGAAATCAAACCTGTAACCTTTTGGGGTCCCAGTCAATGTTCCAACAAACTGAGCCATCTGGCCAGGGCCTTTTTAATGATTTGCCTGGCCGGTGTGGCTCAGTGGATTGAGCGTCATCCCATGGACTGAGAGGTCCTGGTTTGATTCCCAGTTGGGGCACAAGCTCAGGTTGCGGGCTCGATCCCCAGTAGGGGCCGTGCAGGAGGCAGCTGATCAATGTTTCTCTCTCACATCAATGTTTCTATCTCTCTCACCCTTCCTCTCTCTCTATAAAATCAATAAAAATGTATTTTAAAAAATAATAATTTTAAGTGTACTGTTCAGTGGCATTAAGTACATTGACAATGTTGTACACTCATCACCACCATTTACTTCTGGAACTTTTTTATTCCCAAACAGAAACCCTGTGCCCATTAAACAGTAGTAACTCCCTATTTCCTGCACTCCCAGCCTCCGGTCATTTTTATTCTACTTTCTGTCTCTAGGAATTTGCCTGTTTGAGATACTCGTATAAGTGGAATCACAATATCTGTCCTTTCGTGTTTGGTTTTGTTCACTTAGTATAGTGTTTTCAAGGTTCATCTGTGCTGTCGTGTGCATCTGAATTTGGCTCTGTTTTGAGGCTGGATACTATTCCACTGTATATCTAGACCGCATGGCGTTCATCCGTTCATCTGTCGATGGACAATGGGGTTGTTTCCACCTTCCACCGTTGTCACTAATGCTCCATGGAGGTCGGTAGAGCACATTCTGTCTGTGCCATGTTGTTCAACCCTCACATCAGCCCCACCTAGAGGTGTGAGTGAGTATCCCCACCTTATAGATTTTGAAACTCAGGTCTTCCCAAATCCTTGCCAGGGTCCCACAGCCAGTGGTGACCTGAGGACGGGAACCGAGAAGTGCTCGGCTCCAAGGCCGAGGCTCTACTTCACTCTGCTTTCTTGGTGCTGCTGCAGAATCAGTGGTGGTGGCGAATGCAGACTTAGGCGGCCCCCACGGCCTGCCTCTTCCTGCCAGTACACTCTCCACGGGAACGAAGGTAGGGCAACCAGTCTCTCTTCCGCGTCTGGCCGCTTCGTCGAGGCGGTCGTCCTGACTGTGCGACGGGTCTCCTCGCGTTGACCCCCCTTCTCCTGCCGAGCTTCCTGCAGTCCACCCCGGCCTGCGCTCTGCTTGTGATCTCTGGATTTGATTTTGAGGGCAGAGAAAGCTCATCTGAGTTTAGCTAAATAATTCTCCCAGCAGAAAATTCTCATCTCTAAAATGAGTGGATTGAATGAGATTTCTCAAATTCCTTTCAGCTCTGCGAGTGTAGCATCGTGCCCTGAATGTTAAGACAGCAGCCCCTTCCAAGTCCCAAAGGAAGGGAAACACGGTTGCAAGCGGGAGCGGAGAAGCAGCGAATCGGCCAGGCCGCGACTCCCTAGCGAATGTTGGAGGCTAAACGTTCGAGGGGAAAAACCAGAAATCTTTAGCTGCACACTGAACCTTTTTGAGACGGGCGCTGTGTGGTGTTAAATGCCTTGTAATGGTCCAGTTGGCTGACACAGTGACTGAGAGGAGACTGGGGGAGCTCGGTCTGAACAAGGTGCGTCATTAGACTCCAACCAAAGGGACCCAGGAACGCAGCCTGGAGGTGGAAGTCAGGTCACCCCAGTCTGCCGAGAGCCAGCGTCCCCGAGCGCTCCTGTGCTCAGATATCACACGCCGCCTGCACCTGCCAGGGCTTCTCCCGCGCGGGACGCTGACCAGACATTGACATGAGTGCACGATGGACTGTGTTCAGAGAATCGGACCCACGTGTTTCAGAGGGCAGCACTGTCTACTTTAATTCCCATTATGTCCATCTGTTCATGCAAAACGACATTCGTCAGTGGAATCAGAATTTCACCCATTGCAATCACTCGAGAGGAATGTGCTGCCCCCAATCCTCTCCTTTCCTTTATTTTACACAATCTCTGCAAGTTTCCACTTGTCATCAACGCTCTCTTCTGCTCCACCCCCCACCCATATCTTCTCTTCAAGATCCTCGTACCATCAGCTTCATGGGGAAGTGTTGGTGGCTAAGTGGCATGTGATTTTCCATGTAACTAATTCATTTCTGTGGCAAATGTGTGTAAGGAACAGCTATGTGCTGAGGTCTGGGCTTGCCCTGGAGGCTAGCGGTGAGCAAAATGGAAACAGTCCTGGCCCCGAACGCCTCCTGGTGCCGTGGCGGAGACGTGCAGCGACTACGTAATAATGAAGTATGTGTCTGTTGTCAGGTTAGAGCTGCGCAGGCGAGTCCGAGGAGGGAGGAGAGCTCGCCTTGCGCACCTAGCCCGAGGGGGGAGCGGTCTGGAGCTCTCAGGGCTGACGTTAGGCCGAAGCTGGAGAGTGAGTAGGAGTGAGCCAGGCGGGAGTGGGTAGGGCCTGTCAGGAGCGGGAACTGGGAGCTCGTGAGCCTTCAGCTCCAGTGCAGGGGGCAGATCCGCCCAGGTCGCAGTGACGTTCAGCTGCCATCCACCGTGGGTTCCGAATGTAAAGTATCTGTTTCATATTCTCCCACCGCATCACTGCAGTGGTTAACTAATTACAATGACGTACTAGTGTCTCCACAGAGGCTGTAGCGTCAGATAATGGAGAGAGGAGACGGTTCGTGTGAGAGGAAAGAGGAACATAAGTATGGAAAACCTGTTGTATGTGGACATGGATGTGTGGGGTTGAGTAAATCCAGAAGTAGTTGCCAGGGAGCACGCAGGTGGGTAGCAGAGAAGTGGGAGAATTTCACACAGAGAGAGATGTGAGGCAACCAAAACCACACAGGAATAAGAATAATAAGGAGCAGGCAGATACTGCGTAGGAAATAGCAGTCACAGACCTTCATAATCGATTCTCTTTCTGTGTCTGATGAGACTGGAAGTGTGACACAAATTAATGTCATTAGCTTCATTCATTCATTCACTCAACATATTGTGATTGAATGTCCGCTGGGTGCTACGGTTCCATTAGGCAATGGGGACAAATGTGTGATTGAGAAATAGTCTGTGCTGTCATGTTATCTCTAGAAAGAGCAAATCATAGAAGCAAATTATCACAATACAGTAAGATAAATGCTGTAATAAAAATTCATGTGTCAGTAGTTAATTACACCCTCTCTGTCTCAGTTTTGCTATATAACATGGATATGGTTTAGGCAGCGGATATCTTGGCAACCATCGTTATACTCATTAGTTCTGGAACCATCAACCATCGTTACACTCATTAGTTCCGGAACCATCAACCATCGTTACACTCATTAGTTCCAGAACTATCAACCATCGTTACACTCATTAGTTCCGGAACCATCAACCATCGTTACACTCATTAGTTCCGGAACTATCAACCATCGTTACACTCATCGGTTCTGGAACTATCAACCATCGTTACACTCATCGGTTCCGGAACCATCAACCATCGTTACACTCATCGGTTCTGGAACTATCAACCATCGTTACACTCATCGGTTCTGGAACCATCAACCATTGTGACACTCATTGGTTCTGGAACTATCAACCATTGTTACACTCATCGGTTCTGAAACTATCAACCATTGTTACACTCATTGGTTCTGGAACTATCAACCATTGTTACACTCATCGGTTCTGGAACTATCAACCATTGTTACACTCATCGGTTCTGGAACTATCAACCATCGTGACACTCATTGGTTCCGGAACTATCAACCATTGTTACACTCATCGGTTCTGGAACTATCAACCATCGTGACACTCATTGGTTCTGGAACCATCAACCATCGTGACACCCATCGGTTCTGGAAGTATCAACCATCGTGACATTGGTTCCGGAACTATCAACCATCGTTACACTCATCGGTTCTGGAACTATCAACCATCGTTACACTCATCGGTTCCGGAACCATCAACCATCGTTACACTCATCGGTTCTGGAACTATCAACCATCGTTACACTCATCGGTTCTGGAACCATCAACCATTGTGACACTCATTGGTTCTGGAACTATCAACCATTGTTACACTCATCGGTTCTGAAACTATCAACCATTGTTACACTCATTGGTTCTGGAACTATCAACCATTGTTACACTCATCGATTCTGAAACTATCAACCATTGTTACACTCATTGGTTCTGGAACTATCAACCATTGTTACACTCATTGGTTCTGGAACTATCAACCATTGTTACACTCATCGGTTCTGGAACTATCAACCATCGTGACACTCATTGGTTCCGGAACTATCAACCATTGTTACACTCATCGGTTCTGGAACTATCAACCATCGTGACACTCATTGGTTCTGGAACCATCAACCATCGTGACACCCATCGGTTCTGGAAGTATCAACCATCGTGACATTGGTTCTGGAACTATCAACCATTGTTACACTCATTGGTTCTGGAACTATCAACCATTGTTATACTCATCATTATTGGAACCGTCAACCATCGTGACACTCAGTAGCTCACACTGGGTCTGGAAATTCTA